TTTCTCGCATCAGATTATTATCAGATTTAAATACAGCAGTTCAGTATAGATATTATGTCATACCTTAAGAAAGCTGAGCAGTATTTTGGTCACTGTCTCATTTCCTTTAATGTGTATTTGATTTGCTTTAGAGTAATGTTTTATCTTTCAGATACCATGGACAAAACTGAAAACTCAACCCATTTCTCTGGTGAGTGCTGAAATCAACCAAAATTAGATTTTGTGGCAGGAATGAGAAAACAAAACAAGGTTATTTAGAAATGGCATATTTAAACTGTCTATTGATTACCACCATTCAGAGATCAAAAAACGAATATTTTGGTGACCTTACTCTATTTTATTTTTAAAAAGACCCATATTTGGCCATGATTGCTAGGCTGTTACTTGATTCCAGTTTGAAAAAAACTAATTCTTGTATAATTCTTTGTAAGAATTTCTGTTACACCTGGAAGATGGATCTCCGTCTGTTAGACTACTTGCAAATTTCTATTTCCTCCATTTATGACTTCAAGAACCTATCTTAAAGTACAGAAGTAACCTAATCATGGGACTCAGTGAGAACATTTTTCCCATGACTCAGTTGCAATGCAGCTTTTAGACAGTAATAAGTCATACTTCTGTAGGTAGTTAGCCTGCTGATTTATAGTTGTACAGGACTTAACAAAGACTAGGAAATGAAGGAGCTGGAATTGCATAGATGCCATTAAACAGCTCTTGTTCTCTTGTTACAAGCCTATTGCCAGATGCAGAGACTAGGGCTGCACGAAGCTTTGGTTGCTGATCCAATTCAGAGGAGATTTGGTCCGATTTTGGCGGTTGAGCCTCCAAATCCAAATTGAATCAGGAGACCCATTAATCTTTCCGAATCAAATTGGAAGGCTCCAAATTGATTTGGAGAGATTCGACGATTTGGCCATAGACACAGCTTTGTATGTTTTTTTTTCTACATACCTCAAGGTACCAGGTATGGCTCGTGAACACTGAGATGGTGGGGCAGATGGAGCGTCCAACGCGAGCGTGGGGGACCTCCCCTGCCCCCCAGGTAGGTGACTGGTGCCTTCTGTCTGGGGGTGCACCCAGGGTCCCCCTGCGGCCAGTCACCAAGCTGGCGGGGGTCGGGTCCCCTGTGTGCTCGGTGGCAGACCCACCCTATGCTACTGTGGGATGCTCCATCTGCCCTGCCATCTCAGCGTTCATGAGCCATGCCTGGTACCTTGAGGTATGCAGAAAAAACATATAAAGCTGTGTCTGTGGCCGAATCACTGATTCTCCGAATTGGAATCGAATCTTCAGATTCAGACTGGGTTGACTGAATCACACTCTCCAGAATCGGGCTGAATCCGAGTTGAATACTGCCCGCTTTGCACACAGCTCCTAGCAGAAACAGCTACTAACCCAGTTGCTAATTTTGAGGTTATTTTACATTTTAGTTTATGAATTGAGATGTTCCTTCTTTTTTTGTTTGGTTGTTTTTCTTTTCTGAACTCCCCCTGAATACTTGAGTGCTTCTGCCGCACCCTAATAGTTGTGCCTTCTGCCTCCTTTCTTTTTATCAAGTCTTGAGAAAATAGAGTAGTTGATTCATAACATGCTAAATTCTTTGCCACTTCTCCCTGGGCCCACAGAGTTTAAAATAATACAGTCATTCTCTTGATTATGAGATTCAGCTGCCAGATCTGAAAAGTAATCTAAGTCATGCTATTCTTAATGATTATATAGTTTGACCCAAAGTAAAAAGGCCTGTTTCTTTCCTGAGGTCCGCTTACCACAAAATAAGCAGTCTGTGATTAGGAGACAGTATTTCCGAATGCTGTGTTTTGTTGTTTATGAGCTTTCTGCAGACAATTTTACTGAATGGAAATTGGTACTAGAAGTTGATGGATCAATGGTAGACTGTCATCAGACTTGCTGACTCTTCTGGAAAAGATATAATCTCCAGTATGGGACATGTAAATGTCTGTTGGCAGGATTTTGATACTATTACACAACTGCAGTATCATTATCTTAGGTGTGGCTATGTGAGTAACTGAAGAGAGGAGTTGGCTTTATAAGTAACCTGAATCCAGCTGGCATCCTTTTGTATGTGTTGCTGTGGTAGTTAGAGCTCTAGTTGTGTGATTGGGGTTTTTGCTAGAAATGAACACATTCCAGGAAATCAGACTCTTAACAAGGTGGCCAATGTTAAGAAACTGCTTACGATTTAAATCGGCCTCTTTTTTGCACTAGATACTGTGATACAATTTCAGGGAGAGTTCTCTGGTACAGATTCCAGGTAGCTCCTTTCTCTGTCAGCATATAAATAATTTGCCCTATCTATTAATGGGAAAGGGTGAGGCAGCTGCATCTTGCAGGGAATCCTTATTCAGGCTCTTACTTATATCATATCATATACATCTCAAACAACATGGGGCTTACTGTGCTGACATTATAAAAATATACAGTAAAAGGAAATGCACATCCCCAAAATCTTGCTAGTTTATGTTAAGAGAAGATATAAGAGATTGATGAAACAATAGTGGCAAGAAGACCCGGATTAGGTAAATATTTGTTTTTTTTCCATACACCAGTTGTATGACATTAGATGTTTCTTTCATGGAAAGCAGGATTATCCTTTGAAACTGATATGGAAATAATTATCCACAGTGGAAGTTCACCATTATTGGCTAGCAGCATACAGGCAGCAGAGTGGAGCTTATGAAGAGGGTGATGAGTGAGCTGATTTTTTCCAAAAAAAAAAAAAAAAAAGTTGGGACATTTCAAGCATAAGAGACCACATAAAGGAGAGTGAAAAGGTGCTTGTGGGAAACCTGGGAAATTAATGATAAAGGTTTTCATCTTAAGAAGATATAGATTGTGGCCGATTACAGATTAAGATAATAGAGCAGTTAGGTGGGACAGAACTAAAATTATGAAGGGTCCTGAAGAACAATACCAAGAAACTCCTTTGTGATGGAAAGGGAGAACAAATAGAGGGATTCAGAATTAGGAGGAGGATGGAACAAAAGGCCAGGAAGATTATTTTAGCATCAGAGGCTGAAATGGTCTCAAGATGGGGCAGAGTTTCAGTTGCTCACTGCAGAAGGAAAAGGTTACAGGACGCATTCTTTGAAAATACATGTTCTCCATGACCAGTTTTATACATTAAAGCCATGATCATTTTAAAGTCAGTTGGCAAAGAGGCCGTTGGATTGATATATCTATCTTCTTTTTAGGAATAAAATGTTGTTGTTTTGTTTCTTTTTACTGATATTTGTTGCTCTGGGCAGTTTAATTATATCCTTTAGTTTCAATGGGATTTGGGTGCCTTACTTCCTAAGACTCCATCTGAAAAGGCCATCCCTCAATTGTGGAAAAAAATAGAAAAAATTACATTTACAACTAATATTTCTTTTAAAAACCTATATTGTACTGTGTCTACTCAAGTACAGCTCTCTGCATGTCTTAACATTCAACCAGAAACCTGGTTGTCATTGTTAAAAGTCATCCAACCAATTCAAATAATTTCAATTAAAATGTAAAAAAACCCCAAAAACCACAAAACAAACAAACAAACAAACAAAAAACAAACCATAGCAGTAGATTATACTGAAAGACTGTATGTAAAGAAAATCAGAAATGTCTGCCTCATTTTAGAAATTTAAGATTAATGTAAATGGTTATAAAATATGTCATTGGCTACAGATCAGTTTGTGTTTAACAGAGGAAGAATCTGATAGAGCTGGGAAACGTGAAAAATTAAAGCAAGCACTATATAAGAATGAATTTTAAAAAATTGTGAATGATTATTGTGTGCTACTAAAGATTATGGTTATGGTTAGAATGGTTTTATACCTTTTTTAATTTGATGAACTTAGTTAGTGTTTAGTTCTGTGAGAGATCTAAATATTACCCATTAATCTACTACAGTAAACTTAAATTTATACCAAATTACTTTACATATTTTTCAAGTCCCTGGATAAAGTAGTAATGGAAATGAGTACTTGTGAAGAACCACGTGCCCCTAATGGACCATCACCTATAGCAACTGCATCAGGACAGAGGTCAGTTGTAAAGTTTGCATGCAGTTGGTGCAAAAGGTTTAAAAGTATGGGATCTATTTTCTTGAAACAAAGCAGGCAGGTGGATTTGTGTTTCCAAATAAAAGGTTAGAGTCCTCTGTTTCAGATATAATAATCTTTATAAAATAGTGTCAGGGCCTGTGTACTCAGCACTCCTAAAATTAGGCCTAAAATTGTCTGTTCTGGGAGGGGAACAGATAATAGGGCTGGGATAATTTTGTTTCCTACAAGTATTTGACTTTTGACAATTAAGATCTAATCTAAAACAAAGAAAGGGGTGGAGGGTGGTAAGAGGCAGAGGTTCCATGTGTCATCTTCCTGTACTCCTAATTCCTTCTGAAGAGTATGGGTACGTGCATACCCCCTCCTTAGAATCCTTCTCTGTTCAAGGCTGCCCTGCTGAA